AGCTTCTTTTGTGTTGGTTGGGTCTGAATCACAGTGATCACTGAGAAGCACCACTAGGGTCTGGTGGTCAGGAGTGTGGGCTCAGGAGCCAGACTGCTGGAGTCTTCTGTTAACCAGCTCCACGACCTCGGGCAAGTTACTCAACTTTTCTGACCTTGATGTCCTCATCTGCAAAATGGGGATTAGAATGCTAGGGAGATTAAATGAGTTAAGGGATGCAAAGCACTTAGAGCAGTGCCAGTCACAGGAGAAGTGCTGAGACAGCTGGTGTCGTTAAAATTTTACTACTGGGTCCTCGTGACGTCAGTTCTCGTGCTACTGTCTATGTGTATTCAGCTGCAAATCCATGGTTAGTGACATTGGTCAGATGTTGTTGTCACGAGGCCTTCTCTTGGGGGGAATGGTTCCTCACATACGCAGCCCCCTTCTGTACCCTCATGAGCACCCCTGCCTGCCAGGTGGTGCCATGGACAACAACACGCTAGCCCATGTGCTCAGGCAAAGCACGGGCTCAGTCGCTTGGCGGGGGGGACTTTTTGAGGCGGTCATGCAGATTCTCCAGCCCGTGCTTTTATTTCACACCTACGCCTCTGCGTATACATAATACACGTGCGCATAATAATATGTATATTTTTTCAGACTGTCTTCTAGAAGAATCTTTACTGTTTTTGAATAGACCATTTTTGAAAAACACTGGCCCTGAGCCGGACAGAATTGGAAGGACTGGAACAGTTTCGTGGTTTCAGCCCTTGTGTTGCATTTCCTCCAACAGTTTTGAAAATTCTCTTTCCTTCAAAATCACATCTCTAGGGGCGCCTGGGTGGCTTAGTCGGTTAAGCATCCGACTTTCACTTAGGTCATAATCTCACGGTTCGTGGGTTCGAGCCCCGTGTCGGGCTCTGTGCTGACTGCCAGCTCAGAGCCTGGAGCCTGTTTCGGATTCTGTGTCTCCCTCTCTCACTGACCCTCCCCTGCTCACGCTGTCTCGCTCTCTCTCTCTCCTAGAAATAAATAAAACATTAAAAAAATTTTTTTTAAAAATCACATCTCTAGCACTTTCTTCCACTTGATGCGCGTATCTCTTATTCTTTCTGGGTCCTGCCCACCACCTCTGGTTCTGGTGAGACTCTGTGAACTTGACCTCATCTTGACCGTGGTGTTGATTTGGTTGGAAACTTCTAATTTATCACACGCGCTTCTTGCTGTTGGGTGGTGTTTCTTTATTCCAACACCCAGTCCACGCCGTCATTAAAATGTGTCTTACTGGGGCGCCTGGGTGGCCCTGTTGGTTGAGCATCTGACTTCGGCTCAGGTCATGATCCCTCAGTTCGTGGGTTCGGGCCCCATGTCGGGCTCTGTGCTGACAGCTCAGAGCCTGGAGCCTGCTTCTGATTCTCTGTCTCCCTCTCTTTCTTCCCCTCCCCCACAATCGATCTGTCTCCCTCTCTCAAATGTAAATAAACATTTAAAAATTTTTAAAAACATCTTACAGATGAGGATTCATTTATACTTGATAACCATTTTGGTAATGCTAGTGAATATTTCCATAATTCTCTTTCCTTTTTTATATTCATGATTGTAGAGGCTAATCAGTCTTCCCAACGGAGATAAGAACCACCGCAGTAACAGACTGAGGTTAATGTCTGTTGAGTACTTACTTTGTGCTAGACGCTCTGTAAGCATTTTGCCTGTATTATTCAGCCTTCAACACAGTCATAAAAGGTGGCTGCTGTCACCATGCCGGTTTTACAGGCAAAGGAATGAAGTCCATGAACTTCAGGAACCGACTGTGGGGCCACAGCAGGGTGCCTAGCAAAGCCGAGACTCTGGAGCCCCGCTCTTAATCACTCACTACACCACCTCTTGGGACTCCACGAGGAGCTGGGACCTCACAAGAGACACCTATCAAAAATCTGCCTCCCTAGTTCATTTCAGAAAGTGGCCCCATTCTGTCACAGTGGTTTGAACACATGCAGTTGGGTTTTGGTTTTTTATTTTTTTTAATGTTTGCTTATTTTTGAGAGAGAGACAGAGACAGAGCACATGCAGGGAGGGGCAGAGAGGGAGGCACAGACTCTGAAGCAGGCTCCAGGCTCTGAGCTGTCAGCATGGAGCCCAACGCACGGCTCGAACTCACAAACTGCGAGATCATGATCTGAGCCGAAGTCGGATACTTAACTGATTGAGCCACCCAGACACCCCTGCAGTTGGGTTTTAAATGTCCTTCCTTCTCTAGCTGTGGAAACTACCCCTCTGTTTCCAGAACACTAGTGCCTCAGTGCCTGCTCGCTGCAAGCTGCGCTCTTGGATTCTCATTGGTCTGTGTTCAGAGTGAGGCTGAGAGCAAGAACCACCACCTACCAGCCTGCCCCCTATAACTGTTCCCCCAACACAGTGACAACACAGGGACACCTTCCACCTACTCGTTTGTTGAGATAGGATTCATATACCATAAAAGTCGCCATCTTAGGGTGCCCAGTTCAATAGCCTTTAGTATATTCACAAGGTTGTGCAATATCACTATGACATCGTTCAAGAACACTTTCATCACCTTTTACCCATTTCCCATTAGCTATGGATTGACCCATTCTGGACATTTACTATAAATGGAATCATACAATATGTGGCTTTTTGAGACCTCCTTCTTTCACCTAGTAGGTTTTCAAAGTTCCCCATGTTGCATGGGTCATGGCTGAATAATATTCCATTGTGTGGAAACACCACAATGTGCTTATCTTTTCATCAGTTAGTGGTCATTTGTTCTATTCCTACTTTTTGGCTATTATAAATAATATTGCCGTGAACATTCACACACAGGTTTTGTGCGGATGTTGTCTTTTAATTCTCTTGGGTATATACCCAGAAGTTGAATTGCTGAGTCATATGGTAACTCTGTGTTTAACTTTAACTACCAAACTGCTCTCCACAGAGGCCGCACCATTTTACATTTCCACCAGCAGTGTGTAAGAGTTCCATTTTCTCTGCATCTTTGCCAACACTTGTTATTCTCTGTCTTTTTTTATTTTTTTAAAATTTTTAAATGTTTACTCATTTTAGAGACAAAGAGCATGAGTGAGGGAGAGGCAGAGAGAGTGGTTGACACAGAATCCGAAACAGGCTCCAGGCTCTGAGCCATCAGCACAGAGCCTGACGTGAGGCTCGAACCCACAAACTATGAGATCATGACTTGATCCAAAATCAGATGTTTAACCGACTGAGCCACCCAAGCGCCCCTCTGTCTTTTTATTATAGGCATTTTGATAGGCATAAAGTAGTATCTTTTTATGGCTTTGATTTGTATTTCACTACTGTCTAATGATATTGAGCATCTTTTTATGTACTTTCCATCTGTATACCTTTAGAGAAATGTCCCTGCAAATCCTTTGCTCATTTTTCAATCAGATTATTTGTTCTTATATTATTCAATTGTAAGAGCTCTGTATATTCTGGATACTAGACCCTTATCAGAGATGTGATGATACTTGGATATAAGATGTGCAGATTTTCTTCCTGCTCTATGGGTTATCTTTTTACTTTCTTGATAGTATCCTTTTGAAGCACAAAAGCATTTAGTGTTGATAAAATCCAACTTAACCTATTTTTTATTGTTTGCTTATTTGTTGGATGTGATATAAGAAACCATTGCCTGATCCAAAGACTTATACCTGTTATCTTCTAAGAGTTTTATAGTTTTAGCTCTTACTTTTAGGTCTTTGATCCATTTTGAGTTCATTTTTTTATATGGTGTTGAGGTAGGGATCCAACTGTATTCTTTTGCATGGGACTATTCATGTATCCCAGCTCCATTTGTTGAAAACAGGATTCTTTCCCCGCTGAAATGTCTTGGGTTGGAAACCAGTTGCCCATGAATGTATGGGTTGGTCACCAGTGCTTGACTAGCATGTCTTGAAATGTTGTTTGGGGTTAGGATGTTGTAGATATGAGCACAGCTCAGCAAGAATCCATTAAGGTAGAAACTTGAGTTCTAGATCTTCATTTCCATAAGCCCACATCAAGGGGAGTTTGGCATGTCTTCTGACCCAGACTAAGCCATTAGGGCAGATACGTGCAATCTCTTGGGCCCCAAATTGCTTTGTTGTTGTATGAATCTGCATTTGCCCATGACATACAATGTTGATTCCTAAGCAGAGGAGGAGACAGCAAATAGGTTTACTTTAGAAACAGAATGTGGATTCTCAGAAGCCTCAGGAGAAGGGGGCAGCCACCAGCCAGTGCACATTTTAGAAGGCCCAGAAGTATGTTTGTGTGTGTGTGTGTGTGTGTGTCTGTACAAAGACAGTAACCCTGGCTCCCCGTAGTCCTTGAAGCACCCCTGAGGGGCAGGAAGAGCCAGTCCCATGGAGGAGTGAGCAGGGACACACCCCACGTATACTTGCGGGCACACTCTTACACCCTGTGTACGCTGCTCTCTGGCAGCAGCTGCTGGGGACGGGAGGCATCTCTGACCCCATATGCCATCCATCTCTGCGGTGGACCAGCACTCGCACCTCATCCCATCCCTGCTGCCCGGTGACTGTTCCAGGAACAGAGTGGGCCCCCACGTCACCGAAGTCCGTGTCCCAGAAGTGGGTTCTTGGTGCCTCGGCTTCTTGTGCTCTTGGGGGGCACCCGCTCTGAGACACCATTCCCCGAGGCTCTCCCACAGCAGCTTGAGGAAATGGTGGCTCACCCAGCTGCTCGCTGGGCCGAGCGACCTCTCCAGGCCCACGGTAGCCTGGTCAGAAAGCAGAAACAAGGGGCGATCCCGGGCCCCACGACTCCCTCAGCCGCCCACTCTGCCTCAGTCCCGGCGGGAGACACCCTCTGTGAGGAGTGTCTGGGGAAGGCCCTGTGCAAGCAGAGGAGCGCAGTGGCTGACGAGGACATTTTGCTTCTGAAACCCCAAAACAGCCCTTTTGCAATCTTACCGCCACCCCGAGAGCCTTGGGCATTCCAGCTGACAACTTGTCACACAGGTTTCTTTGTTTAAAAACTTCCAGGGTATTGTCGGAATTCAGCAAAGCCCAGGTAAACGCTGTGCCAACCAACGGACTGAGTGCGCTAAGTGGAGAACTGGAGATTCCCACGGGGCGGGCCTCACTGTCCCTCCCCGGCCTGGAGGCCAGCGACCCTTCTGGTGTGCCCGCAGGGCCCCTCCCGGGTCAAGCATCATCTGAGACTCAAGATGGGGGCCGCAAGCCGCAGCCGCCTCCCCTAGCACCTGGCGCCCTGGGCTTGCCGCAGGTGGACACTGCCGAAGCTGCCCCCTCGGCGAGTGTTTTAGGCCCGCGGCTTTCCAGTCCCATGAGAGAGACGGCTACCAGAGCAGTCAGGCCGGGCGGTGGCCAGCAGGAGCCCCCGGAGGATGATGGAGCCACACGGAGCCCCAGGGTGTCCTCGCCCACCAGCCCGGTGAGTGACGTAAGCTTTTCGGGGGGGAGGTCTTGGGGAAGCGTCTCAGAGCTGGTGCAGGGGTGTCCCCAGCAGCCACCCCAAGTGGCCTCCGCCTTGTCTCCATTAGCCCTTCATGTCTCATGGTGGAGAGAAGCCAGGCCCGGGGCCAGTCCTTTCCCAGGGGTCTCTTTTCCATCACATTGACCCCGTAGACAAGGTCATTCTCATCTGACTGTAGACCCTGCGCCTCACCACCGCCACTTACCAGCCTAAGGCCTCAGGCAAGGCACTTCGCCTCACTGAACCTTGGTTTCCTCCTCAGCTCTTGTTATTATTAAATTCAGATTTTTATAAAATACCAGACTTTCAGAATGCTCATCTTGCACCATGAACCAGATTTAGAACAGCACCATCCAATATGGTAACCACTAGCCACACGTGGCTGCTGAATGAGCGTTTGAAATGTGGTTAGTCCAAATTGAGATAAGCTATGTAAGTTAAATACCAGATCTTGAAGGTTTCGTCTGGAGAAAAAAAAAAAAAATGTGAAATGTCTCCGTGATTTTTTTTTTATTGATTACGTGTTACAGTGAAAATATCCTTGATATTGGGTTAAATATATTATGAATATTACTTGCACGTGTTTCTTTCTCCATTTAAAAAATGTGGCTAGCAGGACATTTAAAATGATACCTGCGACTAGAATTCTAGTTCTGTTGGGCAGTGCGGTTCTAGAATAGGCCAGTCTGCCTGTTTCCCAAGCAGCTACTCCACTTTATGTTCCCACCAGCAGTGTATTTTACATCCTCACCAGCTGTTCTTATTGCTTTTTAAAAATTGTTATTATAGCTAGCCTAGGGCACTAGCAGTATGTCATTATGGTTTTGATTTGCATTTCTTTAATGATGTCAAGCATCATCTTTTTTGTGTGACTTTTGGCCATTTGCAGATCTGCTTTGAAGAAATGTCTATTCAGAAGCTTGGCCCATTTTTATTTTATTTTTTTTATTTTTCATTTATTTATTTTGAGAGAGTGCGCGAGCATGAGTTGGGGAATGGCAGAGAGAGAGAGCATGCGAGTTGGGGAGTGGCAGAGAAAGAAGGAGAGAGTCCCAAGCAGGCCTCTTGGTGCCACCACAGAGCCTGGTACAGGGCTCCAACTCACAAACTGTGAGATGATGACCTGAGCCAAAACCAAGAGTCAGACGCTTAACCCATTGAGCCATCCAGGTGTCCCTTGGCCCATTTTTAAACTGGACTCTTTGTCTTTTTATTATTAAGTTATAATAGTTCTTTATATATTCTGGATTATATACCTTTATTAGATATATAATTAGCAACTATTTCCTATTTCCTCCCATCCTGTTGAGTTGTCATTTCACTTTCTTGGTAGTAACATTTACAGCATAAATGTTTTCAATTTTGATACAGTCCAATTTGCCTATTTTTTTCTTTTGTCATTTGTGCTTTTTGTGTCCTGTTTATACCCATTTCCTAGCCCAAGGTCACAAAGATTTATGTGTTCTTCTAAAAATTTTATAGTTTTAGCTCTTATATTTAGATCTGTGATCCATTTTGATTTTTGTATATGCTATAAGGATGAGGCCCAGCTTGATTCTTTTGCATATTGATGTACAGTGATACCGGCACCATTTGTTAGAAAGACTATTATTTCTGGGCGCCTGGGTGGTTCAGTCGGTTAAGTGTCCAGCTTCAGGTCAGGTCGTAAACTTGTGGTTCGTGAGTTTGAGCTCTGCATTGGGCTCTGTGCTGACAGCTCAGAGCCTGGAGCCTGCTTCAGAGTCTGTGTCTCCCTTTCTCTCTGCCCCTCCCCTGTGTGCCCTCTCCCTCTCTCTCTCCCTCTCTTTCTCCCTCTCTTTCTCAAAAATGAAAATTTTTTAAAATTTACCAAAAAAACAGACTATTATTTCCCCCTTTAGAAAGTTTTCAAGGAATGATGTAAAGTGATCCTCATTATACCTGTCAGTGAGTAATTTTATATATGATCTACACTCTATGACCACCATCCAGATGGAAATAGAGAACATTTCCAGCCCGCCAGAAGGCTCTCTCATGCCTCCTTCCATTGTCCCCTCCAAAGGGAGCCTGTATTCTGACTTCCAGCACCACAGATTAATTTTTCCTCCTGTTGAACTTCATTCATATGAATAGAATTGTACAATATATACTCTTTTGCTTCTTTCACTGAGTATTATGTCTGTGTGGTCCACCCGTACATATGGCATGAGGCTCTAGTTTGTTCTTTTCCATTGTTCTGGAGTATTCATTGTAAGAATCTATCACGGCGCGTCTATCCATTCTCCTAACAGACATTTGGATTGTTTCCAGGTTTGGGCTATTCTGATGAAAGCTGATGTAAACATTCTTATATTTGCATTTAGGTGAACCTCTGCACTCATTTCTGGGGGTTTATATCTAGGAGTGGAATTGCCAGGCCATTGGGAAGGCATATGTTTACCTTTAGGAGATACTGCAGAGCGGTTTTCTAACAGTGCTTGCACTGACTTGTACTCACATTAGCAATATGTGAGCATGTTCACTGCTGTCTTTATCCTAGCCAGTGGGGTCACCAGTCTTTTTAATTTCAGCCACTTTAATAGATATGTAGTGGAATCTCACTGTGGTTTTAAGTCTATGGCTTGCCTTTTTTTAAAAAAAAAAATGTTTATTTACTTTGAGAGAGAGCGTGTATGCTCGTGCATATGCAGAAAAAGAGGGAGAGAAGGGCCTGGGTGGCTCAGTCACTTAAGCGTCTGACTTCGACTCGGGTCATGATCTCACGGTTCATGAGTTCAAGGCCCACATCCCATTTGCCTGCTTTACTTCGCTTATTTTCTGTCTCTGGACTGGAATACCAGCTCCATGACATGGAAGAGCATTTCTGTTCCCTTCTGTAATGTCAGCTCTGAGCACTGTACCTGGGTCAGTGAGCTCATAATTAAAAGTTCCCGAAGTCTCAGAGACTCTCAGGATGCCAGCTTGGGAGTCTACACTGAGAAGTACACTGTCAAGTGCACGGGGTGTGCAGGTGGGTCTGGCCAGGCAGGCTCCGCCCCCCCCCCCCCCCCCCCCCGTAGGCCCCAGGGGACTCAGGCTGCTGAGAGGCCACAGGACGCAGTCATCCCTCCTGCAGCCCCTGGCGCTCCTGCGCAGCCCACCCCCCTGCACTTGCCTGGTGGACGCCAGGCCTCTGGACGAGGTGGTGCTCCACCCTGTGTATCACCTCTGTGTTTCTCATCTTTCTGTGCTTCTGTCACTTAGTCACTGCCATTTATTTGACACTTTGGCGGCTTGGGGTGGACAGTGAGGCCGAGTAGAGGGTGTTTACTGTCAAGTTGTATAACCATGAGAGCCATTCAGTCTTTCTTTTATAAAACCCCATTATTTTAAATTCCTTCACCACAGAGGCTCTGTTCTGGGCCAAGCACCATACTTGGTATAGTGATGGAACAGGACAGACAAGGGCCCTGCTCCTTGGGGACAGACACTGGAGTAGGCAAGTCATTCCCCACGTCATGATTACACTGGTGACAAGTGCTAGGGAGGAAAGGGGCTGGGAGTTGGGGAGCTAAGGGGACTTTTACTTGCGGAATCTGGGGGGCTGTGAACTGATGGCTCAGTTTCACTCCAGAGGGTGGTCTGGTTTCTAAGATTTCATCCGATGAAGGTGGCATTCCTCTGTTGTGGGCCCCTCGTGGCAGGTGCTGCTCGGGCTTAGACCCGTGGTGTGTGGTGGTTTCCTCCACTGTTAAGGTGGCAGGGAACTAGCCAGACTTGGGGCCTTGATGACCAGAAGGTAGGAAGGAAGGTGGTAGGAACGAGGAGGGAGAAGGGCAACAGTGGTGTACTCTCCCCCCCCGACTCCATCCCCCGCTTCGTGACCGGGGGCCCCGGCTGGGGCACAGCCACAGGGCTCCGTCCAGGCCTGTGCACAGTAGCTGCAGGACCCAGTGTTCCCACTGTTTTTCTCTGTTGCCTGAGAGAACAAAAAGATTTTTCCTGGACTGTCGTTTCCTGGTGGCTGACTTGTGGCCACCGGACCGTGTCTAAGCATTTCCCAGGAGTCTCCCTCGCCTCCTCAGAGAGAGAAGCCCTCACCAGTCAACATATATCACCTCCCAATTCACATTTGTCTCCTTCCTTCCAGTCCCCTGCCCCGCCCTTGTTATTTTATGCCAAAGACATTTGATAGCCAAGTTTATTCTCTCATCTGTAAAGAATGGCCATTGCATACAGCTTGGTAGGTGCCAGGTAGGGTAAGCAAAGAATGCTGTGGGAGCCCTGAGGGGTCCCCAACCCAGCTAGGCAGTAGGAGAGTAGTCAGGAAAGCTTCCGGGAGGAGGTGATGGATGACCCCTGAGCTGAGTCTTAAGGAATAGTAGTTTCTCCCATTGGAGCCATCAGCAGGGGCTGTGGCCACAGGACTCCCCACGTGTGCGCGCCAAGCTCTGTGAGGCTCCCCCTGCCCATTTCCCTCGGGGAGCTCCCTGGGTCTCTATGGCCTGGGCAGGCTTTGTTCAGAATCCGGTGCTGCAGGTGGTTCCCAAGCAGCCACCCTGATTGACACATTGTCCTGTCACGGACAGAAGGAACCACCTGCTAATTCTAAGGATTTTCAGGGCAAGCCCCGGAGCCAAGCTTCGTGAGGCCGCCATACCCCTGACTCAGAGCTCTCCACTCTCGGCTTGAGGAGCCATCAGGCATCCAAACAGATTAAACTGTCTAAACCAACCCTTCTAGACCATACTCCCCTTCCTTGTCTACGGGAGCAGGGAGGGCAATCTCATTGAGGGGTCGGAAATAGCAGCTTCAGGGTGAGGTTGGTGACACCTAACAAAATTGCTGGGCTGGGCCCACCCCTTATGTGAGTCATTTCCTCTGTGTAGACAGCCACTTGGGGCAGTCCAACCAGCTTCTTCTTGCCTCTGCTCATCTGCGCTTAGGCACAGAAAGGTAGGGAGTAGTTGAAATGGGGAGAAAAGAAGCTAAAATCCATTCCCACAATCCTGTGACCCCAGACCCACCCCCCTTCTCCCACCAGTGAGCAGCTTCAGTCTCAGCAGCAGAAGGGAAGCTCTCTCGCATTCTCTCTCTCTCTCTCAGAAATAAACAAACATTACAAAAACCTTTTAATGGGCACAGAATTCAAATAGACATTTCTCCAGAGAAGATCTACCGGTGTCCACTGAGCACATGAAAAGATGCTCGGTATCATTGTCCTTAGACACCGGGGACATTGCAAACCCAAACCACAAGATGGTACTTCCCCACATGAGGATGGCTATAATCAAACAGACAGGTGATAAAAATGTTGGAGAGGATGTGGAGAAATTGGAATCCCCAGACGCGGTGGGAATGTAAAGTGGTGGAGCCACTCGGGAACACAGTTTGAAAATTCCTCAGAAAGTTAGACATAGTTACCAAATGGCCCATTGGTTCCACTCAATAGGCATGTTCCTAAGGGAAGGGAATACATATGTCCACACAGAAATGTGTACGTGAATGTTCATAGCAGCATTATTCATAATTGCCCCAAAGCAGAAACAATTCAGGTGTCCATCAGCTGATGAGTGGACAAACCACTCCGTACCTTGGAATACTACATCCGTACCTTGGAATACTAGTTAGTAATAAAGAAGGAATGAAACCCTGATGTCTGCTACAGCATGGCTGGACCTTGAACGCCTGATGCTAAGGGAAAGAACGCAGACACAAAAGCCACGCTTAGAAGATTCCATTTATATTGGGGCACGTGGGTGGCTCAGTAAGCACTCAACTCTTGATGTCAGCTCAGGTCTTAATCCCAGGGTGGTGAGATCGAGCCCTGAGTCAGGCTCCACACTGAGTGTAGAGCCTGCTTCTGCTTAGGATTCTCTACTCTCTCTCTTTCTCTCCCTGTCTGTCCCCCTCCTCTGCTCACTCTCTCTCTCTCTCAAAATAAATACACATATAAATGAATTTAAAAAACAGTAAATGAAGATTCTGTTTATGTGAACAGAATGGACAAATATCGGGCAACAGAAAGTAGAACCGTGGTGGCCTAGAACTGGGGCGGCTGAAGAGGAATCAGGACTGACCGCTCCCAAGCACGGGGTTTCTTTTTGGAGGAATGAAGATGTTCTGAACTTAGTGGTACTGGTTGCACAACCCTGCCAATACTGAAAACGATTCAGTTGTACGCTCTAAATGGGTTCATTTTATGAGAGGTGAATTGTGTCTCAATCCAGATGTTTGTAAAAAAATTTTAAAAAACTCAAAAAACTTCAAGCACCACCTGTGTCTTCCCTCCCTTCCCACTAGAAGAGCAAGAGCTGGATTTCGGAGGATGACTTCTACCGGCCCCCCCAGGAGCCGCCCGCAGAGAGCCCTTCCGAGTCTCCTTCTGGAGGGACTCCAGAGTCAAAGCCGGGGCTCCTCCGGCATTTTTCTCAAGGACCAAGGAAAAGCTCCTCCACAGGGGCCTTAGACCAAGCCTGCATGCCTTCCCCAGGGAGCCAGACAAGCAGGGACGCCGCGGCCCGGGAGCACCTGAACTTCAGGGTGGTGCACCGCAGGCAGATGGGTAGGTGACCGCAGGGTTCCAGCCACCACGCAGCGTGAGGACAGTGCCTTTCAGAAAGCACTGCCAGAGCCCTCTCTTCCCTTACCAGTCGGGTGGCGTGTTCTCACCAGCAAAACCGCTTCCCAAGATGTAATCAAGAACACCCTCGCTGAGTAATTCAGGGGGGCATTTCAGGAAAAGGGCTATATTTTCTCCTAAAATCTCAACGACATCATGCCCCAAAACCTGTTTCGTATATTGGAATATTAAAACTTTTCCCCTAGAGCTGTGGGATTATACAAAACTCTGGGTTCTGCCTGGAGATCAGAGCAAGCCTTGCTTCTGGAAGGCATTTTGGTGCCCCTTGCCATGGCCTCTATCTTCGATGGCTTGTTTAAACAGCCCTGGCAGGCATGCATCAGCGCTGCGGCTGTTTAGTGTCCTCCGTGTGCTGCTCACATTGAGGCCTGCTCGAGTTCCATACCCTGTGAAATTCTGAAAAGCATTAAGCAGCCATAACCTACTTCTCCATAACCCCCATAACAAAAAGTCTGCCCTGGAGTCGGTCTCCTTCTGTCTTCATTTTCTGTTTGCAGCGACCCAGCAGACGATTCTGGCCAGGCTCCTGGCTTGGGGAACACGGGTAGAGCCCTGGTCTCCATGCTGGGCTTCTTTTAGGTTCTTCTTTCAGTCCATGTAACCATGCCAGAGAAGGTGTGCCTCATGCCTAGGCCATCAGGTTTCCCGAAGGGTAGGAAGACCCTATACAATTATTTGAAATCTCCGAGGCTAGTCTAGGCTGGGAGAGAGAATGGTGCGTTCTTTGGACCCCCGACTGCTGGCAGAGCCCTAGGAAACCGGGAGCTTGGAGCTATGTGTGCTGTCCAGGCACACACTCATTCAGCGGGTACTTATTATCTGCTGTGTCGGGCTGCTCTAGGTGCTGGGGACACAGCAAGAAGAAAAGTGGAGTCCCCGTCTTCACAGACTTCTATCCTAGCATGAGAGGCAGGAGAGAAGAGAATTAACAAGGAAATGTATAGTGTGGGCTTGGGGAGTGCCAAGATGGGGCACGTACCATTTCGTATATGTGGCCAAGGAAGCCCTCACAGATGAGGTGACATTGGAGATGTGAAGGGAGGGAGGGAGGAGGGCACGGGCTGACCTGTGTGTCCCAGGCAGGGGAACAAATCCAAAGACACTGCCACGGGCACGAACCCAGGAAACCAAGGAGCTGGACCAGGAGGGGATGGTTAGAGATGAGGGCAGAGTGACGGAGGGGGCCTCCTGGGCCACAGAAGGGAGTGAGCTTTCCTTCTGAGGGAGATGGCAGCCATTGCAGGGTTTGCGGCAAAGGGACATGATCTGACTTCCTTTAAATGGGAGTCATCCTGGCTCATATGCTGAAGGCCCTCAGGGAGAGAGCCCAGCCAGGAGGCTCTTGCTATAAGCCAGGCCAGGGGTGACAGCCGTCAAGCCTGCGTGGTAGCGGCAGAGCAGAGGGTTCCGGCTGTGCCGGCAGGATTTGCTGATGGGCTGTATGTGTATGGGTGTGACAGAAAGGAAGGGTTTTTAGCCCAGGCAGCTTGAAGGATGCACTTGGCCATTTATGAGATGAGGTCTGTTGGGAGAAAAGCTGGTTTGCAGTGGGAGGGGCAGGAATTCATTTTCGGGCATGTCAGTTATGAGATGCCTGTTAGATATCAGCCATATGTGGCACAGTTGGAGATCTGAATCTGAAGTTCAGGGGCGAGGTTCAGACTGGAGAGAAACACTGGGGAGTTGTTGGCATAAAGCCCCAAACATAGGTGCAATCAGGTAGGAGGTGGGTATCAATGGAGAAGGGGACCCAGGACTGAGCTCTGGGGCACTCCCTCTCGGGGAGAGGCGGAGGAGCGAGCCCAGGGGACAGAAGAGTAGCCTGTGGTGGCGGAGGAGTACCCAGAGTGGCACCTCAGCAGCTGTGTGAGAGAAGTGTCCCATAAGGGAAGGGGGGCTCAGGCCAGATTGAGACCTGATGGGCCAGGCCAGATTGGGACCACGATTAGCCTTTGGATTTGGTGACAAGGAGGGCACGGGGCTTCCCAAGTGCATTTTGAGTGGAAGAAGGGGACAGAAACCTGACTGGGGCAGATTCCAGATGGAACGGGAGCAAGGGAACTAGAGACACAAGTTGTGACACCTCCTCGGGGCTTTCTGTAAAGGGGACAGAGGCACAGGGTGGTAATTAGAGCTGGGAGTGCCATCAAGAAAGCTGTTTTTAAAGATGGCAGAAATAACAGCGTGTTTGTGTGCTAGTGGGAACGAGCCAGGAGGGAAGGGAGAAAGCGGTGACACGAGAGAGGGAGGGGGGGCTGCTATAGGGACATCCTTGTCCTTGAGTGGGCGGTGGGGAGGGCTCCCCCTGTGCAGACAGAGGAGTTGGCCTCAGACTGAGCCAGGAGTTCGGCCCTGGGGACAAGGGGGATCTCCGAGTGTGGGCACGGGTGGCATAGTGCGGGCTCTGTGGACATAATTTTTTCTAGTCTTTTATTTTTTTCGTAGTAAAATTCAGGAACAAGGTCAACAGCTGAGGGTGTGGATGGGATGAAGCATTCCCGCCCCTGTCCACGCCTGCCGCAGGGCCTCGGGAGCTGGAGGCCTGGCCCGCTATCTCAAGTGCGTCTGTCTGTCCCCCAGGGCTGTCCAACCCATTCCGAGGCCTCTTGAAGCTGGGCACCGTGGAGCGGCGGGGCGCCATGGGCATCTGGAAGGAGCTCTTCTGCGAGCTCTCCCCGCTGGAGTTCCGCCTCTACCTGAACACAGAGGAGCGCACCTGCGTGGAGAACTGCTCACTGCTGCGCTGCGAGGCCGTGGGGCCGGCCCACGGCGACGGCCGCTTCGAGCTCGTCTTCTCCGGCAGGAAGCTGGCCCTGCGGGCCTCCTCCCAGGACGAGGCCGAGGACTGGCTGGACCGGGTGCGGGAGGCCCTGTGGAAGTGCCGGCCCCAGCAGGAGGAGGAGTGGGTGAACATCGAGTACCCGGAGCCACCCGAGGACTCCCCAGACGCCCCCCAGGGCGGCCTCCCCTCCCACCCTGACCTGCCCGCTGAGCCTGAGACCCTTCAGGGCACGCAGTTCTCGTGGTCCTCTGCCCAGGTCCCCGAGCCAGATGCCATCAAAGAATCCCTTCTGTACCTGTACACGGACAGGACCTGGGTACCCTATATTTTTTCCCTGTCCTTGGAGTCTCTGAAATGCTTCCGAGTGAGAAACAACGAGAAGATGTTAAGTGACAGCCACGGAGTGGAGACCATCCGAGATATCCTGCCCGACGCGAGCCTCGGGGGCCCATCCTTCTTCAAGATCATCACGGCCAAGGCCGTCCTGAAGCTGCAGGCAGGGAACGCTGAGGAGGCCGCCCTGTGGAGGGACCTGGTACGCAAGGTCCTGGCATCCTACTTGGAGACGGCCGAGGAGGCAGTGACGCTGGGCGGCAGTCTGGACGAAACCTGTCAGGAGGTGCTGAAGTTCGCCACGCGGGAGAACGGCTTCCTGCTGCGGTACCTTGTGGCCATCCCTACGGAGAAGGGCCTTGACTCCCAGGGCTGCTTCTGTGCAGGTGCTCACTTGCTGTCCGGCTGCCCCCAGCCTGCCCGCCTCACTCCTTAGGCACTCTGCCCTCCCCTGGTGCACCATGAGGGCCCCCGTGCCCCCCCCCCCACCGGGGTGTCATAGCAGATGGCCTCCACTCCTCCCCAGCACCCACTGAGGCCAGCGGCCCTGCCGAGGGTCGGGACCCGTAGGCGGCAGCTCTGCGGGGTGCTGCCATCTCTGCTCCGGGAGTTCCATCCAGAGAGCCGAGCTCTCCACCCCCTTCCTTATTATATCATCACAGCGTTGGCTTCTGTCGGAGCAGGGGCATGGCGCCCTTCCAGATATTTCTGCATGCTTTTGCAAGCGCACAGTCTTTTTCACTTACAAAAAAAATGGGCTTATCCTACTGAATGCTGTGCGATAGAACATTCTCCGGTGATGAAAATCTTCTAGACCAGTGCTGTCTGCTACAGTAACTACAAGCCGGATGTGACCCCTGAGTACTTGAAATGTGGCCAGGGCGACTAAGGAACCGAGGTTTTCGGTTTAACTTAAAAGTATTGAAGTCGAAATGGGCACTCATGGCTTGTGACCACTGCATGGGCCAGCACAGCTAAATATATTATTCAGGGGCTTGGGCTTTCTTCTACTGAAGAATGTGTTATGGATAGTGTTCTAAGTCAGTACCTCTGCTGGGTCATTACTGTCCTCAAATCAGATTCTTCTGTGTGGGGGCACGGGGCCAGCAGCTAATTATTTGGAGTGTTTAATTTACTCCTCACAATAACCTGTCCCGTGGTGGAGCCAGACGAGGACCTTGACGGCCCTGGACCCTTGCTCTGGCCGCGTCCCCACAGGGCCTCTCCACCCGCCTTGCTTTTCCAGGCTGTGAGGTATTCCATGGCTCACATTCCATTTTTAGCTCTTCTCCCCAACCCAGACCCCCGTCTTCATCAGCTTTGGTTCCCCCGGTGAACTGTGAGGGTTTTGCCCTGCCACACAGTGCCACAGCAGGCATCATGGCTGCAGGTGGTTTGAGGACCAACCTGTTGGCCAGAGCCTGTGGGACTGGGGCCGGGTGGGGGAGGGTGTCTGCCTAGGGCATCTGGAAGGAAGTGGTCTGCGGTTTTCTTCCTGCAGAAGACATTTTCAAGTCCCTGCTCACTCCCTCCCCCCACCTGCCAACCCCTAACACTCAGGCTTTGCACTTTCCGCCTGTGGGTGTTGGGCTCAGGGAGGAGGCCAGGCGCCCCAGGGCTGGTGAGGAGGGTCCCCCAGTGGGTGTGAATGCTAGAAGGGCACGGGCTCTTGCTGTGCCTGTAACCTGCCAGCCCGCAGGCCAAGACTGAATCTGGGGGCTCGGGCTTCCTTCCTAAGCAAGTGGCCGGGCAGACGCCCACTGCCGGCATCTGGCTGTACTTCATGGTTCACGGGGCACTTTCAGAGCCTCCTCTCCTTTAAACTTGGGCATCACCCCCACAGAAGAGCAAGGAGCGGCTGAATTTTATAGATACTGAAATGGAACCTTGCAAAACTTCAGTGAAGGTTAGGATGAAGCAGCTATTAGCAGAGGAGCTGGCCCTTCTGGTCCCCAGGCCAGAGGCCCCTTTCCCCTGGCCCTGTGGGAGGCAGCATGGGCTCAGGATTCGAGCCTCACTCTAACTCTCACCGCCTGCCACTGGGGAGGGACCTCCAGCAGATGAGCTGAAGCCAGACCCTGTACCACTGTCCCTAGGTGTCCAGCATCTCTGACATTCAAGCTGGCACCAGGCAGCGTGCAGATGGCCCTGCCTCCGGCTGGCTCCCCACGCACTCCCTGTGGCCAGCCCCACATCCCCCAGCTCCTACCCTGCTTGCCCGGGCACTGACTTGGTTGCTAACGTTTCTGGGCCCCAGTGGAGGGGTGGACCTACGGGAGGTTGGCATTGGTGAGCGAGCAGTGAGAACACTGAATGCAGGCAGCTAGATAGAAGGGGATGTGGGCTCTCACACCAACGCAACCCAAATCCGACTCCTGGCCCTGCCACTTAGTCGTCCTGTGACTGGGCAGGTCTCCTGACTTCTCTGTGCACCACTTTCTTCGGCTGCAAAAATGACAGCAATAATCATTACGGTGTTTTGTTGTAACAACTCAGTAATGGGGTTGTTTCTCAGCAGTGGGCATGTGAGTGATGGTTGTTTGAGCTTTGTGTCCTCCTTTGATGTCTGTCCCTTCCTGAAATAGCAGGTCCTTCTGCCTGGGGGCTTCTGCGTTGTCTGCAGACTCTGGCCCCGCCACTGCTCACTCTCCCGCCGTCCCTCTCCCCAGGCTGCTCCCGACAGATTGGCTTCTCATTTGTACGACCCAAGCTTTGTGCCTTCTCTGGCCTCTATTACTGCGACATCTGCCACCAAGACGATGCCTCAGTGATTCCGGCCAGGATCATCCACAACTGGGACCTCACCAAGCGCCCGGTAAGCCTTGAGCCCAGCCTGTCATGGCCGCACAGGGCTGAGGAGTGACAAACGAATGGTCACTCCCCTTTGTTGCTGCTCTTCGTCTGTGTGGAGGAGTTTGGCTCTAGGGACTCTAGGGTCACTGGTTCAGGCCCCATGATGGCAGGGGACGGGAGAAGCCAACCAAGAAAAAAATGTGCTGCTGGTCTATAGCTCCTGGGCAGAACTCTGTCAGTGCTTGCCTTGGTCCTCAGGTGGAGGTCTGAGAGTGGTTCTCTGCAGCTCCCTGTGGCTCCAGACAAAACTGTTTAAGGCACCAGCAACTAGAGAGAGAGAGAGAGAGAGAGGGAGAGGAAGAATAGATAAGGAAAGATAGGATAGATTGTATTTATAGATGGATGTAGATGGATAGATCGGTGGAAGGGTGGATGAATGGATGTGGATAGATAGATGGGTAGATGGGTGGGTTGATGAATGTGGATGGATGGATGGGTGGATGGATATGGACTGATGGATGGGTGGATAGATGGACGGGTGGGCTGGCCAACAGGCTGTACTTCCCCTTGGAGCAGTCAGCCTTTTCTGTATATCTGTTTACGTACATTTGTACAGCTGGAGTCACACTGGACTCATACTGATTTATAACATGCTTTGTCCACTTAGTATCATTTAGTATGACTTAGTCTTGGGTACTTTTTTATGTTCACCAAATGCTTTTGAATAAGATGTATTCTGAGGTCTTTCACATTCCCCTCCTCCACCTGAGCTCACCCACTTGTCTACCTAGGTTCCCATTAGCCAATTATTTAACTTCCGTTTCCTCCTCTATAAAGAGGGATTAATAAGTGTCTACCTCGGGGGACATTAAAGGAGTTGGGACCCGCCAGTCTCTTTCAGCCTTACATCAATGCCCTTTCTTTGTCCTGAGGCCGTCGTTCACACCTTCAGCCCCTCCGTCACTTGATCAGGGCCTGCCTGGAGGAGCACAGACATGGCTTTCTCCCAGAGGCATGGATTTCTGCATAAGACAGACACAGAAGCACAAAGAAGAAGCTACTTGTTTCTCAAGACCCAGGCCTAGTGGCCATGCCGTCTTGATGGGTCGGGTGTGTCATCAGAGCATGGGGAATCGTGACTCTCAGGTTCTGTGCCACCCCAGCCTCCCCCTTGCTGGGGACCGGAGCCTCAAGGACATTAGCTTCACTTTGGCTTTTTACTTGGTTACCTGTCCTCACTCCTGCCCTCAGTGGTGAGTATTTAACTAACTGCTTGCAGAATATTAAACCTCAGAACGGCCACAAATGCAAATAATTCTCTGTCCATAAAACACACTAGCTGTTTACAACATCCGGACACTTGTTAAGCCATCCTCTCATTCATTGCTGTAATCCTTGTGCTACTTCCTTTTTCCAACTAGAAAATTACGGTACTTTTCTCGGCATATCTGAGATCAGGAAATATCCAGCATGCACTCTTGCTCTCTCAAAGATCCCTGGCCTATGCAAGACAGGCAAATTCGAAGTAGAAAGCGCTGGCTCACAGGTTGGGGCCCTTATTGTTCACTGTTACCACCAGGTGACCCACTTGTGCGGGGCCTGACTCGCCCTTGGCAGGAAGTCAGCCCAGTGCCAGGGCTGCTCCCTCGCCCGTCTCCAACAAGCCCATGGGACAGGAATAGCCCCTAGGGAGCAGGAAGCTCCTGCCCGTCCACAGCACTTGGCAGTCTGCAGCGCACATTCCTGTGTATCGTTTCATCCGAGCCTCGCCCAAGGCCTGAAGCTGTCATGGGAAGGGCCGGGCCGGGGACAGAGAGCAGTCCGGGCTCTCACTGGAGCTCTACTGCTGGGCCGTTTGGTGGCTGGGGCCTCAGGGCACTAGCAAGGGGGAAGAGGAGTCTTCTGCTGTTGCGGGAGGCACCAGGGCTGGAGGACAGGAGGCCACAGGCTCCCGGGCCCCCAGTGTAAGAGTCTCCTGAGGGCCCCGGCACCTTCCCCGCACTCCAGGGGACAGCAGGGCCGCGCAGGCACTCCGGGTCTGAAGGCAGCTCCCTTTAGAGGAAATGCTATGTGCCAGGAGCTTTCATTATTACTTTTTAAAATTTTTTTAACATTTCTTAAGTTTATTTATTCATTTTTAAGAGAGAAAGAAAGAACACAAACGGGAGGGAGACACAGAATCTGAAGCAGGCTCCAGGCTCTGAGCTGTCACCATAGAGCCCAACGCAGGGCTCCAACTCACAAACCTCAAGATCATGACCTGAGCCCAAGTCAGACGCTTAACCAACTGAGCCACCCAGGCGCCCCAACATTATTATTATTTTGTTTTAATCTAAACCCAAAATAATTCCGTAAGAGAGGTGCTTTTCCTTTCCCCACTTTACAGACAAGGTAACTGAGTCACAGAGGTTAAATAAGTGTCACAAGGCCATACTGCTAGGAAGTGGTAGAGCCAGGATTCGAATTCAGTCCTGACTTGAAAGCCTGACTCCTGCCTACTGCATGGCAGCTGATGGTGGAGACAATCTCAGATCCTCCATCCTTACTAAGCAAGGAGGAGACAGAAGGGGAGAGAAGCTTCTTGTGGGTTAATGAGGCAGCCAAGTGTGCAGAGACCACACCTCAGTTTAGACCCGGCCTCTGCTTTCTGCAGGTAGATTAGATAAGCCACTTTTGCTTCTCTGGGCCTCAGTTTACTCATAAAATGGGGGTGATGACACCTCCCCCATTGGATTCTCATAAGCATGAAGAAAGGATGTGGTTGAGATCCTCAGCCCACTGTCTGCAGGTGCTCAGTAACTGGCTTTGGCATTAGGGTCAGGGCTGAGGGTAGAACCCATAACACCCTATCGGTTGGGAGAGGCTGGGATCGATCACTCCCCTCCACACGGGGACTTGGGGGAGCCCTGGTTGGTGCTGCTGTTGAGAGCTTGGGGGGTGGGGGTGGGGGTCTCGAGAAACCTTGTTAAGCTGTGCCTGATCTGTAGCTTCCTGTGGCTGGAGCCTGACTCAGACAGTCACCTGGTTCCTGAGTCGGCGCTGGGGCAGTGCCTGTTTCCGTCAGGCAGGGAAATGGGGGCTGGGAGGACAGGAAATAGTGGGAAGGATCTGTGGGCCCAGGGGGAGAGGGGCACTGACCCGGTGTGGCCGGGGGGAGGGAGTGCCGGAGAGGGAGAGTAGGTTTGGGAGTCCGGGTGACTGGGTTCAGATCTGGACTTTTATGAGCTGTGGACCCAGGCCAGGTCACTGCGTCTCCAAACCCCCGTTTCCTCATCTGTGCAGTGAAGGTGGGACCACTTCCCTAGGAGGGCGGTGGTCGGCTGGGTGAGCGTGTCTGTCACAGAGGTGCTCACCGAAAGGCCGTTCTGTCCCACCCTGTGTCCCAGGTCTGCCGGCAGGCTCTGAAGTTCCTGACGCACATCCGGGCCCAGCCCCTCATCAACCTGCAGCTGGTGAACGCCTCGCTGTACGAGCACGTGGAGCAGATGCGCCTCATCCGGAGGAGACGCGAGCAGCTGAAGCTTCTGGGCGATTACCTGGGCCTGTGCCGAAGTGGGGCCCTGAAGGAGCTGAGCAAGAGGTGAGCGTCCTGGACCCACACGAAGGCGCACATGCACAGCCAGCGCTTGCCCAAGACGCCCCCTTGGGGAAAATGCCAGGGCCGAGCAGAAGTCACCTTCCCGTTGCGTCTGGGGAAATTACCACATGCTTTGGGAGTGGCTTTTATTTGTTCACGGATTCATTCCTGGATTCATTCAACAACTGTTTACTGAGAACATACTAAGTGCTCAGCACTGGGCCAGTTTGTGGACTCCACACTGAGCAAGGTAGACCCAGGTCCGACCCTCTCGAAGGGAAGGCGGATGAGCAGGCAAGCCCACAGCTACGGCAGGGACGGAGCTAGAGGAGAGGCAGGACGCCCGGAAGTAGAGGTGAGCCCTCTAATCTGGACCGGAGGAGGGCAGAGCAGGGAAGACTTCCTGCAGGAATGTACGTATAAGCCCTGCAGAATGAGTAAGAGTCAGAAAGGAGAAGACTCAGGAAAGACTGTTCCAGGTGGAAGGAACAGGGTGTGCAGGCCATGAATGAAGGCCCCATACGAGGGGAGAACAGAGAGGGCCCTGGGGCATGCGAGGAGGGAGGAGGGGGTGTTGTGAGAAGGCTGGGCCATGGTGCCCCAGCCACTCCCTGCCCAGTCCCCCACTCCTGGCTGCTCTGCCGCCGTCCAGCACAGCGTCGCTCCCAGAGTCCTCAGAAGAGGGTGAGGTCAGGGTGGGAGCCTCAGGACGCCCTTGAAGGAGCTTCTGGGCCCCCGGTGCCTGGGAACCTGCTTAGGAGTGGGAGGTGATGTTATGCTTCAGTATGAGCTTAGGGCCTTTCTGTGCCCGTCATGAGCAACCCCTACCCAGGCTGCGGGCCCCCTGGGGCTGTGCTGTCCTGGGGTCTGCAGCAGGGCTGACCCAGGCGGAGGAGCTGCTGCCTACTGTCCCATTGGGCTTTGTTGCTGGGATTCTGGGGACTTGGGGCAGCTCACAGTATCCCCCCTGCCCCCAAGAACAATTCCACACAGCGCTGGCCCAGGGACCACCTCTCCGATGGGCTACTGTTCCCCCACGGCTGTTCCTGCATGGCTGCTTGGGGCCCAGCAGTGCCCAGGACAGACCCCACACACACACACACCCCGGGGATCTCAAGGAGGGAGCTGCTGCAGGGGAGAGGCTGGCTCCTCCTAGGCTCCCAGAGCAGCCAGCTGTGCCCTGGCCTCCACAGGACCAGAGAGCCCCCTGGGTGCCACCACAAGGGACCCTAGCAGGCTGCCCCCTGGGGCGACCTGGCCTGTCTCGGTCATCAACTGGGCACCTGGGTCTTCACTCACTGCACTCCTTTCTGAGATCCTAGGCCTCAGGGCTCCAGAGAATCTGCCCTCCAGACCTGCTGACCGGGTGGCAAGATCACCCCATCATCACCCACCCCGGTCAAGGGCATCTTCGTAGACCTGAGCAGGCCGGGTACCTGCAGGCTGTGTCCCAGGTGCTGGCCTCGCCCGGCCTCGCTCACATTGTTTGGTCGTCGGCCTTACTGACCTGCCAGGCCGCCCTGGCTCTCTCTGGCCCTGTAGTTCCTAACTTGGGCAGCAGTAGTGCATACCCACTGTGCAGCCTACCAGCCTTCAAGAGAGCAGGGCCACACTAGTGGAAGTCCCATTTTAGAAGCAACATGGGGCAGGAGAAGGACCTCAGGAGCAGACTCTGCCCTGCCTCGGACTTGCTGTATGACTCAGAGAGGTTGCTTCACTTCTCTGAGCCTCCTCTTTCTTATCTATAAAATGGGCCAGTAATCCCTGTGCTCACGTGGCCTTCCGGAGTTGTGGTGAGGGCCCCTGGAGGGGCTCGGAGTCTGGGGAAGGACACAGGCTTGTGCTGTGAGGGAAAGCGCCTGGACCCAGCCGCGTGAGGGCTGGAGGGGATGGCGTCTGAGCTGAGGGCTTGTAGCGCTCTGCTCTTTTCTTTAAAAAAAAAAAAAAGTGTTTCTTTTATACAAAGTTGGTCAATACACAAACAGCGTAAAAGAATTAAGCAGGAAGTTCGGATCACTGCTCCTCCAGTCCCGCCGCCATCAGTATGTTAGGACCTGCTTCCAGAGCTCTGTCCTGACACACAGGAAAGGCGTTGCCTTAACACAGACACCACGTACATAGCGAACTGGGATTTTGCAAAAGAACCAAGGAGAAGAAAGGGGAAGGGAGGGCCCAGCTTTTCTGGTGTGAGGGGGCCTGTGATGTGGAGGAGGCCAGGAGTGTGGCTCACCCAGACCTGGGCGGGGCTCCGTGCGGCCGGATGGCAGGTGCAGGGGCAGAGCTCGAGGTCCATTGTGCCACAGCGGGTTTGGATTTCTCCTGCCAGCAGCGGGGAGCCCTGCGAAGAGTTTCGAGCACGGCCTGTCAGCGTTCCGCTCTGGGGGTTAGAAGGGGCCGGCTTGGCCGCAGTGGGGCATGGGGGCTGGTGCAGTAATTAGCCCAGGGAGGTGTGGAGGCCTGGCCTGCGTCGGCCAGAGTGGAGGCCGAGGACCAGAACTGTTGAGAAGGAAGGGCAGGTCTTCAGTGTGAGTGAGGTCAGGGAGAGTTCCCCTTTGCTGGCGGCAGCCCTCTGGCTGGGCTGGGCCCTCTGAGAGAAAGGGGAGCCTTGGATGGGTGGGGAGAGAAGGGACCTGAGCTCAGAGGAGTCCCCCAGCCTGGGCCTGGAACCCAGACGTGCCAGCCTCGCCAGTGCCCTTTCCCACCCCATCACTGGTTGCAGCAGTGAAAGGACAACCTTGCCTCTGTCTTCCAGTCTCCTCCAGAGAGGGTCTCTCTGGCCCCTTCCCAGGCAGTCAGCCTCACACCAGAAGAGGACAGAGAGGGGTCTCCTGATTGTTGGGTGGAGAACAGAGCCCTGGAATGGCCCTGGGGTGCAGATTACTCTCCTGACGGCCAGGATGAGAAGCGGCATCTTGCCGCTGGGCCAGCGCTCTATCCCCTCCGACCTGGACGGAGTGCTGGACGGAGAAACCGCCTGCAAGCCTCACTGAGAGTGGGACAGGCCCCGGGGACGGTGGCCTGCAAGGAAGGATCTGGCTGGTCCCTGGGGCTTCCATGACTGTGGACAGAGAGTAGATGACAGATGACTCTCCGTTCAGACCAGCCCCGCCCTTCCTGCAGGCTCAGGGATGGCCCGCGTGCCCCCCCCCACCCCCACCCCCTGCATTTTCCTGATGATAAATGGCAGCTTGCTGTTCCCGGAAAGCTGGAAGTTTTACTGGAGACACCGACGCAGTGAACCAAGCAGGCAGTCAGCGGTGTCCTCTCCCCCGTGGCATAGCACATGCCTGGCTGTTTGGTGGGACTTGTCCTCCTGGCCCCGGAATGGGTTCCCCCAGAACACAACTGAGGCCATTGGGTGGAGCCTGGCCGGCCCCCCGTTTCCAGATGCCCCGGGGCCTGGCACCCTCCCACCCAGATGTCCCGAGCATCCTGGTGCAAGTTGCCAAGCTCTCCTTAGACTCGGAGCTTGCTCCCCAACCCCAGTACCCCCACGGGCACACACAGCAAGGCCAGGCAGGGTTGTCCCCAGGGAATTTCTGCGGGTATTTCCTGTCCATCCCTCAGGATATAATTTCTAGGATCTCTGCCATCCATGGGTGGAAAGTAGAGCCGTCCTTGTCCTCCGTCGCCCCTGCGCCCCACCCCACCGTGAAATGGGACCTGCTGTACTTAGGCCACGTCTCAGAGCCTCTTACAGAGCACCAAAACTAGATGCTTGACCGTCTGTCCCTCAGCTAGACCGGGGGCTACAGGAGGGCACAGACCACGTCCTGTGCATATCTGTCCCCAGTATGTAATGGAGGTAATAATGACAGCAGCTAACTCCTACAGGCATTCACTGAATGGGTGGGGATGGGGGCTCTGGAGCCAGACTGCTGCGTTCAGACTCCAGCTTTGCCACATACTGGCTGTGTGGCCACAGACACGCTAACGCTATTTAACCTCTCTCTGCCTCCATTTCATCCTCTTCTCAAAGTGTGGATTCGAGTAGTACCAACCTCACAGGATTCCCGTGAGGTGAAAGGGGTTCATGGATATAAGACGTGTTCACTTTCATCCTCCTCCCCATTGGTATTTCTTGTAGACATCTTATCCCTTTAAATGTTCTTGGAAACTGGTTCAGCTTAACTGAAGTGTCAGTGTCAGAAAGGTAGGACATTTAACGCCATGATGATGTGAAGTGTGTAGACATTGCGACGGGATCCCTCCCCTCCAGTTAGTTACCACGTCCATCCTCTTACTAGATGTACACATGTAGATTTGGTGAGAACATCTAAGTTGCACCGTCTTAGCAAATTTCGGTTATACACTTCAGCGTTACCAGCTCTGGCTGAGAATGATTCATTGTTCACTGTGTGCGGGGCACTGTGCCAAATGCTTTAAATAAAGGAATCCTCAGAACAGCTCTGTTTCTCAGGTGAGGAAACTTGAGGCTCAGCGAGGGTAAGGAATTTACCCAAGGTCACCTGGAAGACCAAGGCCCCAACCCAGGTGGCGACTGTGCTCTCAGGCACCGCCCTGTCCAGGTGCTCATACCTGGTTAGCAGCTGAAGGAATGCACACAAACACGGGTTGGCCCGGATCCTGGAAAACCCTTATAAGGAACCTCTTATGTTTTCTTTGAAGGCTCAACCACAGGAATTACCTCTTGGGGTCCCCCCACAAGTACAGTGTCGCTGACCTCCAGCAGGTGAGAACACCCTTCTGGCCCCCAGACCCCTCTAGAGAGACCTCATTCATGGGAAGCCAGGAAGGAGGAAGGGACAGGGAGGCCGCAGTCTTCCAGGCCCTCAGACCGCATGTCTCGCTGTCCCACACTGCCAGGGCAATGGCTGAGCGCCAGTCCCTGCAGTGAGCAGACAGTCCGGCAAAGCCTGGGTCACAGGCTTTTCAGCCCCTCCCCTGCATCTGGACCCGTCCCCAGCTGGAGGGCTGAGGGAGGATGGGCCACAGGGGTGAAAGCTGGGGACACTCCTTTCCTTGAGTGGGGGTACTGTGGATTGGGGTCTCATCTGTCGAGCCTGGTGTCCGCAGTGACCTCTGCTTCCGGGGGTGCTGGACACCTGCCATGTTCGGCCTGATTCAGGAAGACTTTACGGCCCAAGTGAGAAGAAACTTCTTCTGGGGTCGGAATTCTTCAGGCAGGGTCCCAGGGACAGCAGCGGGCCCCCTCGTACAGATGGCCTCAGCCTCAGCCCAGCTGCCTGAACGGCCTGGCAGCCTGACCTTGCCCTCCACAGATCGCGGACGGGGCATACGAAGGGTTCCTCGACGCCGTGATTGCGTTTGCCTCCCAGCACGTCTACCACTGCGACCTGTGCACCCAGCGCGGCTTCATCTGCCAGATCTGCCACCACCACGACATCATCTTCCCTTTCGAGTTTGACACCACCGTCAGGTATGCGGGACACCTGGCCAGCCATGCACCCCCCCCACCCCCCCACCATGGCTGGCCCCAGCATGCCAGGGAGGCAGACTCTGCGCCGTCGTGCGGGTGCACAGTGAGCACCCACCTGTGCCAGTGCCACGGGGCAGCGAGGTTGTCTAGAGCAGCCGATGCCCTGCGCAGTCACGGCCAGCCCCTGGCCAGCTCGGAGATACGAGAGCCCTCGCGGGACCCTTCCCTAGACCGAGGAAGCTGTCTTCCTAGAGAAGAGGTGGCTTGCTGCCTCTTTGAGTGAGGGTCTCAGGGTTGTCATCTACGAAGGGGTTGAGAGGGACCAGATGAGTTACTGCCCTGGAGTGTTGGCACAGGCTGGGCACACAGTGGGCACCTGGTGGGTGGTACCCGCCTTGCTCTCTGCTGCAGTAACAATCGCTCTTGTCCCGTTACTGCTCCTTCTCAGAAGCCTCTAAATGGAAAATTTCACCCACCAACCCTCCATTCCAGCCCACATGGAAGTGGGAAGCTGAACGGGCGGGAGCATTCATTCACTTTCAGTAGGTGTCTCCCGGCTCAGATTCAGCCCCTGGGCTCCGCGTTTTAAACTGCAGTGTTTTCAGCATAGGCAAGGAATCACCTCCTAAGTCTCAGGCAGCCTCTCTAGAAAGCGAATTAGAAATAGAGTGTCGGCGCTTGCGGCGTCACTGGTGAGCACCATCGCCAGGTGATTTGGCAGTGGGGACGCAGCGGGCTCCAGCAGGGACGCTGGCCAGCCTCCGGTCCCCTGGCACCAGCAGCCCTCACGGGTCTCCCACAGGTGTGGCGAGTGCAAGACCGTCTTCCACCAGAGCTGCCAGGCCGTGGTGAAGAAGGGCTGCCCCCGCTGTGCCCGCCGGCGCAAGTACCAAGAACAGAGCGCTCTCAGCTGAGCCGGTGTGCTGTGCCCGCCCGCAGCGGCCCGTGGCCAGCCCCGCTGGCTGCGCCGTCACCCTGCGCGCTCTCAAGGGGTCACAGCCATGTCCCCTGGCAGGAAGACTCAGATGCGACCAGAGCACGAGCCTGCCAGATGGAGCCCTCGATGATGTCCCCCACTCCCTCTACCACCCGTCTGCCCCAGAAGGTGGGGACACCACCAGTCCCAGGGGAAGCGAGGAGGGGAGCTTTGCACTAGTCAGGCCCCGGCTCACCTTACAGACCCGGCACCTCCATTAGGGCTGTTCAAACACTGTGGAAACAGCACTTGGGCACATGCTCAATTCCACATTCCTGATTCAAAGGTCTAGTTTTTTAAGGCGGGCTTTTTCCCCTTCATATTTCAATAGAAAATATTTTTTTATTCTCGACCCCACACAAGTCACCCAAGAAATCCAGACATTCTCACGCTGAGCAGACGTGTGGGAACATGTGGCCCGCAGGCAGGCGGGCCACTGCTGGGCCAGAGCGTGTCAGCTGGACTGGGTGCCTTTCTGTCACCCACGCCGGGCCCTCGCTGCCCACAGCTCAAGTACAAGGTGCCAAACTGCCCAGGGGCCGGCGGGGTCCGTCCCAATGACCTCCCTCTTCCTCTCCCTCTCCTCTTTCTGCCCTGCCTGCCCTCCTCCCCTGAAAAGCCCATCACCTTTCTCCGTGTTAGAGCCCCCTGGCACCCCTGTAGCCTGGGATCTTGGTCCCTGCAGAAGGGAGTGACTCGGAACCAGCACTGTGAGCACTTTGAGCCTTCCTGGGTCCAGGGCAGGGTCTGGCCCACCCCTCAGCCCCGGGCCTTCCCCCCCTACCGCTGACCCACAGCCAGACGGACCGGGGCTGCTACAGACGCACTCAGGGGGATCTTGCCCCCCGCCTGACTGACCCCTGTGGGACAGAGGAAGGCGGGGCCCACAGAGAGGGCAGTGAGCCCAGGCTAGCCTCGGGCCCTCAGGAGCAGCGACCCTGTCCTCCCAGGAGGAGTGCCCGCCCTGCTGCTGAGATGTGTGGGAGCAGCCACCTTGCGGAAGGACGCTTACTTAGCCTCAGTTTACAAAGCCATGGATTCGCAGAGCTTTGCTGGACTGGCCCAGGCGGGGTGCTGCCAGAAACTGGAGAATCTCACTGGAGCAGGGTCACCTTGGAAGGGGTCTGGGGAAGAGTGGGAGCCTGGAATGGTTTTCAAAGTGATGTTTAGACCCTGTGGTTGGGAGTGGCTTCCCTGCTGCCCCCTCCGATCTCTCCTGCCCCCCAGCCCTGGGTCCTCTGGCCATCCTGTCGGCTCTCGGCTCAGATCGGGGCCTCAGGTGGAGATTGCCTGTCACTGTCAAGAGACGAATCTACTCCCACCTCTCCCTTGGAGCGATTTGGCTGCTGAGTCACCTGCCCAGCCCTGTGGAGCTGGATGAATTGTGCAATAGAATAGAGGAGGTGGGAGGCAGGTGGGGGAGGGGGCTGCCACACAGCCTCCCTGCCCCCTGTCACAGAAGATGGCACACACCTGTGCCTGGCACACCAAAGCCTCCTAAATGGGGAAGCGGAGCCCCGTCCTCCTCCGGCATCCCCATAGCCAGCATTAATGCCCCACCGCAGACCCGGTGCGGCCCGCCAGGGTCCTGGGTGCCCCAGATCCCACGGTGGCCCGGAGCCAGCCTGGGACCATGGGTCGGGCCGTGAGCACGTTGTATGTGCCCAAAGGCACCCTGGGGGGCACTGGGAGCCTGCTCAGGTTGCATGGGGTGTGCTTCCGCCATGGCCGCCCCCCGGGGCCTCGCAGCACTAACTACAGCTTGCCCTCTCCCCAGTGCCAGAAAGCTGCTGATGCTTCCCGAGGAGTTGACTCTTACCCCTCACCTCCAATGGAAAGCTGACGTGAACCTCAGTGGTGCCCACACTATTTTTAAAATGCCATTTTATGCAATAAACTTTCTATTGAGGCGTGCTGGCCCTTTGCAATGTACCGAAGGAACTGCTGCTGTGTGATTTTTGAATGATTTTGCAGTAAAGACCTGCTCTTTCTCACCTCTGGTCTCGCCTCTGAATCCTGATGCTGCGGGGGGGCGGGGGGGGAATCCACCAGGCCTCCTGCCATCTGATGCCCCCTCCCCCACCAGCTCTCATCAGTCCCTGGCCTGCCAGAGGGTGGTTGGTGGTAAACATTTGCAGGCAGTGGGCTTGTGCCCCAGAAGTGGGCATGCAGGGGAGGAGGGGTGACCGTGTTCAGTCTGTCCTCTTCCCACCAGGAGTCCAGAGTCAGTGGCGGGAAGGGGGTTAGCATTTCAGGGCCTCTGGGTAGATTTACCCACATGCGCTCCTGTATAACACCTGAAGCTGATGCCTGAAATTCCATGATGGCTTCTTCCCTGTGTTTGTCCACCGATCCCTGGCACTGGAACATGAGAAAGCTCAGGATGGTGTCCCACGGGGTTATCCAAAGCCAGAGAAGGGACTCCGGGAGGAAAGGCTGAGGAGGGCCAGAATCAGGGCTCATGGTTTCAGGCCTCCAAGGGGACTTGACTTGGCTGCTACCTTCCTCTGAAGTTCCAGAAGCCCACCACTGCCCATCGTAAGGAGAGGAGAAGGAAACACGCATTCCAGGGAAATCAGGTTGCAGGAAAATGGGATCGAAACATTTGGCTCTGCGGTTTCTTGTCCTTGAAGATGCCTTTCAGCCCAGGAGAGAGAGCATCTAATGTGTATCCCCTGGGCCCCAGCTCCCCTCCAGGGACGTAAGGGGTGGGCTCTGAAAAGACAAAGGACCTGGGTTTGAGGGATGGGGACAAAGAGCCAGGGGCCCGGGACCTGGGTGCTACCCTGCCTCTGGTCTCAGTGCCTCCATCCTCAGCAAGGTGCCTCTGAGGACATTTGTGCCTCCCTCCCCCCTCCTGCCTAAAGGAGAATGGGGGGTTTGGAGACCTCAATCCCACCTCAGAGAGGAGGACAGCCCCTCTTATAATAAAAATAACAGGTCTGTGTGTCCTTACGATAGTAATGCGATACTGCTCCTGTACGGTGCTTCACAATATTCAACCTTCCCTAAAGATCCTATGAAGTAGGTGGTGGTGTCCCAAGTTCACGGGAAAGAAAAGATGCTGAGGTGAGCGAGTCCAGTTCCAGGACACCCTATGGACAGCTCGGAGAGTGGCCCCCTTCTGGCAGAGGACCCAGGTGGCAGGGGGGTGGGAAGCAAGCAGCGGGAGGGAAATCTGGCCCGAGGTAGTTGAGGAGGCTCCCTCCCCTCCCTCCGTCAGGCCACCCTCCTGGCCCTGCCTCTCCCACCGCCCTGGAGACAGCCAGGTGTGGCCCGGGATCCCAGGAGGTGCAGGGGGGAGGGCGGCGTCTGAGCTCCCAGGGCGCTGGCCCGGCCCAGAGGGGACAGGAAGCAGGGACACCGGGGATTGTCTCTAGCAGCCGCAGCCCAGCCTCGGCCCGGGAGGAAGTTCTGCCGGGCGCTCTCGGCTGGTGCCTCCCTCGCTGTATTGTTGAACAGGAAACCGGGCTGCGCGGGAGCTGGGCGGTGGAGGAGGGAGCGCCGGCCGCCGAAACCACGCGTGCCTGCCGGGACAAGTGGAGGCGAAGCCAGTGATCGGACGCCCCGAGGTGCCGGGGCCGGGCCGGGCCGGGCGAGGGTTGCTGGGCCGGGGTTGGGGGAGTGCGGTGCCGCAGGTGGCGGGTCCTCCCCCGGCAGCGCCGCGCGCGCCTGCTCCCCTTCACCCGGCGCTGGGGCGGGAGTTGCGCCGACCCGGGAGCGGGGCCGAGCGGGGCCGAGCGGGTCGGCTCTCCCCCGCGAGGAGCGGAGATCGAAGGGCTGCCCTCCGTCCGGGGACAGACGGGGCCCGCGTCCAGGTCCCCGGCGCAGGCCTGGGCGCCGCTGTGGCTCGCGTCGCCCGGGCAGTGCCCGAAAAGCACCTCCTGGCGACCGGTCAGCCCTGAAGTTCCAGGGATCCTCCCGGTTCCTCTGGATCCTCCAGAGTTGGGGAAGGAGAGTCCCGAGACTCGGCTTCCCCACCCAGCCCGAGACCCTGCGCTGGGCGGGCATCCCTGCGGTGGGAACTCCAGGCCCGGCCGAGCTGCGCCGGGAAAGGGCCTGGGGAGGGTGGAGGTGGTTCCCAAACGAGTGGTGCGTGCAGTCGGTCTGGAAAGGGCTTATAATTGGTGAATCGGGTGCAAATGGCTTCGGTTGTAATGGGAACCCCTGGGCGAGACAAGGAACCGGGGTTGAGCTGTCCCAGAGTTATGCGCCTGTGGGTCGCAGAGGCTGGAGGACAACAAATCATCCCACGGTGGGGGGCTCAGGGGTGGGACCCTACCCACCTTGGGCTCCAGTTGCAACCTGGCAGCGCCCCTTCAGGCACAGCCCCTCCAGCCCACTCCCTCCCTTCGCCTTCTCCTGCTGTGGTCCCACTCCCAGTGTCCCCCACTGGCCCAGACACACTCATTCAGGCTCCTCCGGGCCCCTCCCAGATCCGGCTGCCTTGGGGACTGGGGGCAACCCTCCTGAGCATCCCTCTCCCTCTTTGCTCCCCTTGCCAGCTCCTGCTCACGGAGGTCTCTCCTGCTTAGCCCTTGGAAGCCCCGCCCAAGGAGATGGCAGGGGCCTAATCTGCATCCATCCGCTGACTCGGCCGGTCCTGCCCATGGGCCCGCAGAGACCTGCCCTGCCAACGTGAGTGAGCCGCGGTGGTCCGGGGGAAGGTGACAGAAGGGGTGTCCGCCCTGGGGTTTGTTGGCTTAGCTACAGGCAGCTCACTGACTACATCCAGGGCCCAGTGTGCAACCCTTTCCCCATCACGGAAAGCTGGAGAAAGCAGTGAAGAGAGCTCTGTGCCCCTGGCCAGACCCTGCACTCCCCACCCCCTCCCACCCAGCTCAGACCCTGTTCCTTGGGTTCCTCAGCCTCAGCAAGCAACCGAGCTGGTCCCAGGACACCTTTATGGGGCAGGAGATGGGATCAGGGTAAAGGCCTGGAGGGACCAGCCACTTACGGAAGAGGCTAACGACTCATCTCTTTGATAGACACGCAGATTTACAGTTAGGCTCGGACTCCCGACACCGCACCCAGAGCCTAGCTAAGCTGGCGTGGAGGGCGGCGGGTTGTGGCGATCGCTCCAGAGGGGCTCTGGGAACGACGCCTCTGGGGTCGTCACTGCCACAACGTGCATGCTCCAGGGGCCCCTCTCCCGGGGCGATGCGGAGATCACAGGGCTAGTGGGTAGGCCGCGAGGGCCGAGCCTCACTCGGGAGGTGGCGGTGGGAGCTGAGAACAGGGGGCGGTGCAGGCCGGTCTGGGCGGGCCAGGCTCCGGGTTCACGTCCGCGGCCAAGCCACTGGGGAAGGAAAGAGAAACCGAGAGAACCGGTTCCCCGGCCTTTGGCAGTCGGGTCCCTTAGCCAAGGCCCTTGGACTACGCGAGGCAGGGGCATTCCCCGGAATAGAGAGGCGCCGGGGTGGTTCCCAAAGAGCCCCGCGCCTCAACCCTGATCCCAGAGGCCAGGGGCGCAGAAGCCTGGAGCGAGGAGGCTCCGGGCACGCGTATTTCCTGACGGCGGGAGACATCTGGGGCGGGGCAAGGCAGGGCAGGGGGCGGGGCGAGGGGAGGGGCGGCGGGGGTGGGCGGGTTGGAAAAGGGGCAGTTCTCTCCACTTCACAGGCCTGTAAACCGAGGCCCAGTCAACTTTTAGGCAAATGTGGTGACTTTATCGCAATCACCCCAACCCTTTGAGTCCAGGCCTCCTTGGCTGTAAATAAAGCTGGGACAGTATCACCCACAATTTCTCCACCAAGGGATTGAACCGAGACTCAAATCTTATACTCAATGCCACGGAATGAAGGTATTGTCCGAATGAAGATATTGTCATAATTCCATCAGTGAGTGTAAGAACGAGAACCTTGGAGATTATTTTATCCAAGTCCCCCTTTTTTGAGATCGGAAATCCGAGGCCCTAATGCACACGAGGGATGCACTCGAACCCAGGACTTCTGTCCCCTAGTGCGGTGCGCTTCCCGGCTCGGTGGCCCTGACCTCCGTGCCCCTCCTTCTTGGTACTCACTCACAGGGAAACGCCAGGGCCGCGATGGCGGCGGACGTCGAGGGGGACGTGTACGTGCTGGTGGAGCATCCCTTCGAGTACACGGGCAAGGACGGGCGCCGCGTCGCCATCCAGCCCAATGAGCGCTACCGGCTGCTGCGCCGAAGCACGGAGCACTGGTGGCACGTTCGGCGCGAGCCCGGCGGCCGCCCCTTCTACCTGCCCGCGCAGTATGTGCGCGAGCTGCCGGCTCTCGGGGACCTGGCCACCACCTCCACGCCGCCCGCGCTCCGCCCGGGCCCCGCGGCCCCGGAACCGCTAGCCTACGACTACCGCTTCGTGAGCGCGCCGGCGTCCGCGGGCCCCGACGGCACGCTCGCCGAGCCCCGGGGCCGCGTGGGCTCCCTGTGCGGCCCTGCGCGCCGCGGCGCCGCGACCCAGCGCGGCAGCCTGGCGCCGGGCCTGCCCACCTGCTTATACACGCGGCCCGCGGCGCCCGTGCGGCCCGCGCAGTCCCTGGACGACCTGGCGCGCGCCGCCGTCGCGCCCCCTGCCGGCCTCCTCGGGAGCGCGGGCAGCTTCAAGGCCTGCAGCGTGGCGGGCTCGTGGGTGTGCCCGCGACCCCTGGCGCGCAGCGACTCCGAGAACGTCTACGAGGCCATCCAGGACGTGCGCGGCCCGCCGCGGGAGGAGCGCCCGCAGCAGGTACGGGGAGCGGGGAGGCGGGCGGGGGTGCTGCGCCCGCTCGGAGCCGGGGCTCGAAGGAGACCCACTCGGCTTAGCGTCCGGCTCGACGGAGCGGCAGTGTCCGCCGAGCCTCGCTTTTCTGCGCCACGGAAAGAGAAGGGTGCAAGCTCCCAGTCACTTAACTGCAATTCCAAAATGCCAAAGCTCTCTGGAGCCCAAAGGTTTTTCCGTAACTCTGTTGGTGGTTAAATTGGACTTGAAGCGATGTCAAGCTGTGGGTGGTCTTTATTTATTACGTTTAGTTTCACTACAGAAATGCAGGTAACTGGGGGCGCCTGGGTGGCTTAGTCGGTTAAGCGTCCGACTTTCGCTTAGGTCATGATCTCACGGTTCGTGGGTTCGAGCCCCGCGTCGGGCTCTGTGCTGACTGCCAGCTCAGAGCCTGGAGCCTGTTTCAGAGTCTGTGCCTCCCTCTCTCTCTGACCCTCCCCTGCTCATGCTGTCTCTCTCTCTCTCTCTCCTAGAAATAAATAAAAAAAAAAATGCAGGTAACTGGATGACAGTGTACCGCTCCAAGCCTTGCTGGCAGGTGTATGCGCCGTATTACCTTTCTAAAATCCGCAGCATTCGAAACGCGTCCGGAGATGGGGTTGTGAACCTGCAGGGCCGCTCCACCCGCCTCTCCTTTCTCATAGGAGGTTGGGGGTCAGATGAGGCAGTGGATGTGAAAGTCAGGGATCTGCTTCCTTTTTTGGCTTCTCCCAACATTTCAGTTCCCCCCTTAAAAAAAAAAAAAAAAAGACAACTGTTGATTTGTTTTTTTCAGGAAGCGGTCCAGTTATACTGAGCGTGGTTTTTTTTGTTTTGTTGTTTTGTTTTGTTTATTTCGTTTCAGAACCCGGTTGTTAATTTTAGGAAATCGAAAATAGAGCACGTTTTAAAAACACTTTTATATCCTCAGAATCCTTTGGTTGACCCTGACGTCTTCAACTTTAGGAACTTTGGGTCGGTGGTTGGGGAGGGAGGATGTACAGACCCCCATTTTGACATCTGCTTTTTGACAGTTGGGTAATTGTGGGCAATTCATTTCCTCTCCGAGGGTCTCAATTTGCCCTTTGGCCCAAAGAGGGGTAGAAAGTGTGGATGGATGATCCTCAACCCTTGTAAGTCTCTGATTTCTTTCTTTGGACTTGATGTAATGTACTTGTTGTAAACATTGATGCCTGGCGCACGCCAGGACTGAGTCTGGGGTGCCCAGAGGAAGAAAGCACCTTCCCGGGCTGAGAACTCCTGGGTCTCCCCTCCGCCCATCTGGTTACAGGGCAAAGAGCTCAGGATTTGATGCTAGACAGACTGGAATTTGACCCTGCTGGGTCGCCTGTCACCTGCTGAGGAGTCACTTAATTCCCCAGCCCCATTGTCCTCGTGTGTAAACGCGGGACAAAACCTAAGGATTAGAGTTGTGGGCCTTCAGCGAGGTGAGGCATGGAAATGCTTGGCACGTAGTAAGCGCTCCGGCCGAGGCTGCCTGGGGTCGCATGCGTATCCTGGTCTGCGCCACCTTCGCTCCCGTTTCTGCAAGGAGCAGCCCGCCCCCTTGTGGTCATGTCGGGGAATAGCTTTCGGCGGGTCGGAACGAGGACGGGGACTCCGCCCAGAGGGAACCCCAGGGATGGGGGGTGGGAAATAACGTGCGCGGTGTCTCTGCTGGCCAGTTTGCCCCCTTCTCTGGGACAGATGGCTGGATATCAGTGCTCTTTACCGCGGCGTCCCTCCTTTTTCCTGGCAGGCTCTCGGAGGCACATTCCAGGGCCTTTCCACATTCCCTGTCCTTGCCCCTCTTTCTTCCGGCGCAGTATAGTGGTGTGTTGGCGGTGGGGACACAGGTGATGGAGAGAGGGGTGGTGCTCGCACAGGGAGGAACTGGGGCATCTGCCAGAGACCTGGGTGTTGGTGGAGATGCTCTGCCTGGTCCCACTTCTGGCCCTAATGAATGCACTGTTACGGCCTCAACAAGAGGCTTAGCACCTCTGGTCTGGTTTTCTCCCCGTGTAAGGGGTAGAATCTCACACTTCCCATGACCCTGCTTTATTCCAGTGTCAGCTGTGGGCCTCCCTGACACCCCATCCCTGACACACTCCAGGGGTGGTGACACACTCCAGGGGTGGCGTAGGGAGGTGTCTGTCTCCTGGGAAGGAAGCCCCATTCTACCCTTAGTTATTCAAGGCAGCATTTAGAGAAGGAATTTCCTGAACAATGAGTCTGCCTGTTTTCTTCTGGGAGGAGGCAGGAGAGGCAGCTCCTACCTTTCCCCTTCACTCGCTCGTTAACTAAGCATGAATTGACCTTGCATTTGCCAAACATCTGGTGAGGCACAGCCCCAGGCCTGGAGGGCTACCGTCTGGGTCAGGCGCCTGGCAAGAGGGACCGATCTCTCAGTCCAGCACAGCCCAGGCCGTCTGAGATAAAAAGGACCCCCAGTGTGCTGTGGTGCCCAGCATGGGTGCAGGTGTGAGATGCCGCACCCCAGGGGCCTTACAGCCCCGCCTCCACCCTGCACTGCTGCAGCTCTGGTGGGAAGTGGGTGGTGCCTGGCAGGGCCAGGAATTTGGACTTCACCCTGCAGCTGCTGGAAGACTCAGCAGAGAAGGCAGTGGGGTTCGGAAAAACCCCCTTTGGCTGGGACTTTAAGATGGGCAGAGGACCTTCATGGTCTCCTCGGCATGCGGTGATGACCGGAGAAGTTTGGGAAGTGGATTCCGAGGGAGCTGGTGGCCGATGGGCTGAGGAGGGTAGGCAAGAAGTCAGGATGAGTCCCAGGCTTCCGGTGTGCACACCTGGCACACAGCGGTCTGTTTCCAGGGGGATCGGGCACGCTGGGAAGGCGTGGGTGGAGAAAAGGCCCACTGCTTTGGTGCGGGTCCTGGAGCTGATAGCCCAGCCTGCCGCCGGGGAGAAGCCCTTCGGCATGTGGTGAGGAGACGGGGGGGGGGGGGGGGGGGGGGGGGGGGGGGGGGGGGGGGGGGCATGTGGTCATGGGGACCACAGCCCTGGGCCCACCACATTCACATTTGGGTGACCAAGAGAGGGAAGCGGAGCCCCAGGGGAAGACACAGTCAGGGAACCAGGAGGAAAAGCAGGGGAGTGCTGGTCCAGACACCGAGAAGTGTGCAGAAGAAAGGGGAAGTTAGATAAAGGCCATCACACGTTTATCAAAAGTGTTGACCACAAGATTAGCAGCCACGTTATCAGGAGCTGGTCAAGGGGTTACTAGAAACAGCAAGCGGAGGTCAGAGGGATGAAGGAAAGGACGCAGGCTGAGTGGAGACAGCTCAGAAGCATGGCAGGGAAGGGAGAGATGCGGTGTGGCCAGAGGCAGGTGGGGTGGGGAGGGAAGGCTCCCCAGATCTGAGCGAATGTGCAGGAGCCAGAATAGCAGGAGGCTGAGGATGGTGAGAAGATGGCTGATGAGATGGGCTCCCAGGAGACAGGGGGGAGGGGGGAGGGGGGAGGGGCGAGGATAAGGGCAGATGGGGAGGGACCCACTCCCTCTGAGGCAAGGGGCAAGGATGTGAAGATGGAAGTGACATAGGGTCACCGGGGACAGTGGACCATTGGACAGAGGGACAGGGTAGCATGGGTGTAGGACAATTGGCAGAGGCAGGGACCCCAGAAGAGAGAGGCCTCTACACTGTATGGCGTTTTACAGCCTTGTCGTTCACGATTCCCTCACCTGGCTCGCAGTGAGCTCCCTGGTGTGTGCTAGTCAAAGTGCTGGACACGGGACACAAAGCATGGGAGCACATGATGTGATCCTGTCCCAAAGGGACTAAGGGTCCCGTGGGCTCTCACTGGAAGGCTCGTACTCCCCGCTCAGAAGGCAGGCGTGGGCGCCCCCATGTGCCAGACTGCGGAGGTTCGGAGAAGTTTAGTGGCTGCCTGAAGGTCACCCAGGCGGGAGGGGGCTGAGTCCAAATCAGTTCCATGCCTCCTGACTCTGAACCCCCCCCTGCTCACCAGGCTCCGTCTCAGCGGGGTGGCTTGCAGGCTTGGCCAGCCTGTTCCCCTCAGCAGGGACAGTACAAGCCCAAGGCAAACAAGTATTCACTTTCTAAGCGCCCTGCCGGTGCCCAGCCCTGGGCAGGAGGCATGAATGCCAACCCCCGGCTTCCAGGCCGCCCCTGAGGGTGCCCGGGGAGGGCAGAGGCACACCTTCTGAGGAGGGGGGAGCAGGTAGGCTGGAGCACTCTACTCCCACCGCTGCTAAGGAGGGGCTTTGGAGCCTGGTGAGGAGGGGCCTCTGAGACTCCTCCCCTGCCTGGTCGGGATTTCTGGCTGCGGTCACCATCCCCGCCCCAGGGCCTCAGGACTGGAGCCCGCCCCTGCTGCCCAGGCATTGGCTACAGGGAAGAAAGAGTTACACCCGGGGCCTCAGCCAGCAGCCCAGCCGGTGCCCCACCTGAGCAGGCGGCCTGGACTGGAAGGAGCCCTGGGGCCCTGGCTCCCTGTCCTCTGCAGAGAACTGTGAGTGACCGTCCATCCCCGCCGCACAGGGGGTGTGCCACGGCAGTTTCCCCCCTCTCCCCTCCTTCCTGACCTCCCCCCAGCCTTTTCCTGTACCTCTGCTGAAACTTACCTACCCCCCCCACCCCCGCACCAGGGACTGGGGGACTCGCCTGGAGGTGCTCCAGCCTCCTCTCCGGATCCCAGGCTGGGCACCCACTTCATGGGACACTGTGAGGGCAGCCCCAGGCAGCTGTGATTCAGACCGAGGAACTGGCCCCCGACAGACCCACCTGGGTCCCTTTGGGGGACCAGCGAGGGGGCCCTCTGGAAAGGGGCGTGCTGGTACGAGCGGGGGGCGGGAGCTGAGGCCCACGGGAGGGTCCAGTGAGTCTTCCCTCCTCCCAGCCACGGTCTTTCTCACCTCCCCAGGGAGGGTAGCTGCCCCAGGCGGCCCAGCTGGTTCCTTCATACCCGGGCTGACCTTCCCCTCCCCATGACTCACCTGCAGCCCC